CTGCTGGGAATTCTCTGAGCAAGGTATCTGACCAACGTTTTCTTTTCTTTTCTTTTCTTTTTTTTTAATTTTTTTGTTAACGTTTATTCATTTGAGACAGAGAGAGACAGAGCATGAATGGGGGAAGGTCAGAGAGAGAGGGAGACACAGAATCCGAAACAGGCTCCAGGCTCTGAGCTGTCAGCACAGAGCCCGACGCGGGGCTCAAACTCACGGACCGCGAGATCATGACCTGAGCCCAAGTCGGACGCCCAACTGACTGAGCCACCCAGGCGCCCCTGACCAACGTTTTCAAGGGGTTTATGGCTCCATGTTTCATAAAGTCAACCTTAGTTCCCTAAAGCCATTTGGTCATATCAGGGTCTATGCATTTCTCTCAAATAGGACATTCCAGTCAAAGCGTTGGCAAAACAACCAGTATTTCCAAAGGTGTCCTGTTACAAGAATAATCTTACTGTACTTATGCAAATATCTGTAATTGCCATGAAAGAAAGAAGACTCACTGAGAGTGGTTGAATTTCAGAGGGTTTAGGGAGAGAGAAAAGTTAAATGTTTCAGTTTACAAATGAAAACTTCATGACATCTCTGTACATTATAGATATCTTAAGAGAAAATTCCCTTGATCCGGAAGAGGAAACATCACAGAACCAGCAATATTTCAAACAAGAGTCACAAAAACTATAATCTTCCTCAGTTTATTTAGTGCCATGTTCCTAATGCTTGTTCAGTTTGAACGAAGCTTTTTAGTTCTGGAAATTCTTTCCCGTTTTAGCTTAATCTTAAAGATGTCGAATACCTGTATTTCTCCTAAAAGTCCTTTTTATGAATCTCCTTGAAGATGAAATACATTTTGTGGGAGAGCAAGAACAATTAAAAATGACAAGATCTCAGAAATGGACATTGTTAAAGATCTGATGAGAGTTCACGATGATGCGATTGACAAGGAAACAGTTATTTCTGTAACCCATAACACTTCAATAATCAGAATATCAAGGGAGGACCTTATACCAAAACATTAAAACTTTAGAAATTGTATATATATTTGAGCAGTTACAGCATTTAGCCATGCAATACAACTAAGGTTTACCATTATTTGACAGTGCTTTTCCAAGTAACTTAGCATACCAAATAAAAAGGTCTAATTGGTCAAAATCTTGGGAAAGTTTGTTAAAACCTTAGAAAGTTATACAGCACATTTTAAATAGGATTACAGATCATTACAAATCTTAAAACTTTATTTATTTAACCAAGATGGCAATAAGAGATTCCAAAGGCAAATATGTAGCACTGTATAGTTGTTAGCAAAACCTAACTCCTTTACCATTGAGAAGTTTTAACCTTAAGTAATCAAAGACTTGATCAAGAGGAAACCTAAAGCTTTCGTCTTCCCAGTAGACAAAGAGAAAAAAACATTTGTTTACATTTTCTTATCAAGAGCAGATCAACAATGCCAGAAAACTTTGTCTTTTGAAAACAGAGAAAAGCAGCATATCAACCTTAGGCCCATGTACTTTTAAAATCCATTCATCTCTGGGCAGCTGGGTGGCTCAGTTGGTTAAGCGTCCAACTTCAGCTCAGGTCACGATCTTACAGTTTGTGAGTTTGAGCTCCGTATCAGGCTCTGTGCTGATAGCTCAGAGCCTGGAGCCTGTTTTGGATTCCGTGTCTCCCTCTCTCTCTCTCTGCCCCTCCCCTGCTTGTGCTTTCTCTCTCAAATATAAATAAACATTTAAAAAAATGTTTTTAATAAATAAAAAAATAAAATCCATTCATCTCAACCTTAGTCCATCCTGACCACGCATAAAATTCCTCTCCAGGGGCGCCTGGGTGGCTCAGTCGGTTCAGCGTCCGACTTCGGCTCAGGTCATGATCTCGCAGTTCATGAGTCTGAGCCCCGCGTCAGGCTCTGTGCTGACAGCTCAGAGCCTGGAGCCTGCTTCAGATTCTGTGTCTCGCTCTCTCTCTGCCCCTCCCCTGCTCATGCTCTGTCTCTCTCTGTCTCAAAAATAAAATAAAATTTAAAAAAAAATTAAAAAAAAATTCCTTTCCAAAGATTCTTTTCATGAACCTTCTACAACTTTCCTTTGCCTTCAAATTTTGGCCCAAACCATTCTTCTTGAAACAACCAGTCTCATTTGGGACAAAATTACTTTCTTGTACCCTCAACAACGAAAAATGTATTTCCATTCTTTATCTTTCTTACATATCTCCCACTCTCCTACATACAGAGTTGCTTTCCTTATTTCCATCCATTTTAAGTACACTTAGCAGAATTTTAACTCTTAGAAAACTTAGTCTCTAATAAAAACTTAGTGACCAATCATAAACTGTTACACCAGAATTCCTTAGATGGCAAATTCATGAGTCAATGAATCACAAACCATGTTTTCCGATAGACCCAGATTTTCTTAGTTTCTCTGCAATAAGGAGTCAAAAGCACAAACCTATATTCAGTAATCAATGCTTCAGTAATCAATCTATTTGGAAAAGACCTAGATATGCAATAAATTCAATCCCATTTATCCAAGTTTCAGATTGTGAAATACTTTGAAAGCTATCTTAAGAATTATCTGTGAAAACTTTGAGGTACACAAAATTAACCATTTTTTTTAAGTCATCTTTTTGCTAACAAATTGCAACAGAGACAACATGAGCTTCTTTGACCTTTAGGAAACCTTGATAGAATAAAAGTTTCATATTTAATGCTGAAAACTCCAAATAGATGTCTGTCATAGTTAAACCAACAAACTTAAATAAGCTTAAACACCAAACACGTTCCACCTGCATTCACTTAAAGGATGATCAATATGTTCCCCATTGTCAACTTTTACCTGGGACACCAATGGGGGAATCTGAAGTGGGCGATTCAAGGGGGTGCTCATCACTCCTTGACATCGAGGGTAGAGGATGGTATAGAAGCCAGTTATGTAGGTTGTATGGAAGATGATGCAGAAACAGGAGGGGGAGAAGCAGGCAGAAGAATGGAAGTGCCAGAAGGCAGAGAGGATTCCTGGTTCTAAACCTTGTCACCGGGAAAGAGGAGACCCCATGTTTGTTTGTTTGTTTGTTTGTTTGTTTGTTTTCCACCAAAGTGGAAATAAGGAGTCTATGTCAAGCTAGAGAAGACAGGGAATTTCCCTGAAGCAAATGGAGTTTGGGAATATTCTTTAAAGTCCATGTGCCAAGGTAGACTACCCATAGTTGGCTCCAATTAAAGCCATTAACACGGGACATGAATGAGGAAAAGGTCCCCACATCTATTAGGAGGAGGAACAGAGAGAAAGAGTCAGCATCCCCTTTGTCAGGGATGGTCTATGTTTCCTCTAGCAACTGTGTTCCATCAAGAGGAGGCCTATTAGGACATCCGCTATGTCAGGAGGGAGTTTACTAGCCAAACACATTAGAGCAAATATATTCTGCAACAGGCCTTTTGGCCCAGGTCCTCACTTAGAGCTGTGAAGGCCTGGACCTAGGGTGCCTCCATCCATAGACCTTGTTTCCTGCAGAAGAGATCTAACTGCTAGAACTTACTAAGGCCACGCAGTGTTACATGACATCACCTCTTTCCTAAAGTTTGCAATCCAAATTGTTTCTAGCAGGTTGAAGAGGCATCCCAAGGGAGAGTCCTTGGGGATTGAGAAGAAGGTCCCATCCTCCTCCTAGAGAGAGAAAAGTAGAAAAAGTCCATTACCATGAAAATCCCCCCCAACTCCCAGGTGGTGTCCCACACGCAGGATATATCAGAGGTCCCTGAGGTGTCAAAGTGACCCGAGGCGAACTTCAAACAAAATTGCTATGATCACCAACCAGCCCCTAAGGGCCTCTGTGGGAGGAATGCCGGCATCCCTCCGATTTCCCATGGTATCCTAGGCTACAAATAGGCGCAGGCAGATGGACCTACTTTGCCTTGCTGAGAAGGCTGAAGAAAACACCGTGTTTAACCCATGGAAAATACTGGGAAAGTTTTACAAGCGGGAATTGCCCAATTTTGTCATTTAAGTAGTAGTTAGCAGAAGACATTGACCCAAAACAGTGAAGACAGAAACCCATCATGATCCAAGTGACATTCCAACACATATAGTCTTTACATTCCAACTTCCTAGGAAATAGTTCCTGGCTGGGGAACATTTTAATTCAATCAGGTACTGGTTTCACCAGCAACAGAAGAGGTCCCGCAGCCATAAGTGACTAGACCATGGATGTGAAGGGGATCACGTTAGACCAATGAGGAGGAAACTTCTGCCATATTCTAAAGATTGGAATCCATGCTAGTCATACAGATGTCTGTTCCATCCCCACGACAGACAACAATATATAAGGACAGGAAGAAAGAGAGGGCACAAGTTTCTGGGTATTTTTACCATTCCTGCCTGGGGACTCACTTCCAGCCAAAAGGCAGGCTTTCTCCTCCCCATAGAGTATCCACGGGCTACAGGGAAAGTGTTTTAATAAGACCAGACTCCTTGAAAAGCTTCTGAAATATGAGTAAAGGAAGAGAAACACTCACCACATTTGCACTGAAGCTCAGAGTCCAGATGAAAAGACTCACAACCCCATATAGGTGCCAAATGATGAGGCTGGGCGGGGCGCATATTATAGAGCTGACAGCCAAGAAAGAATTCTTGAAGACATCTTTGATGCAAAATAAGTGATTTCATTAAATCGCGGGGACAGGACCTGTGGGCAGAAAGAGTTTCATTGGTGTTGTGAAGAGTGACTGGTTATATACTAGGAAGTTTGGGGAAGTAAAGTCAAAAGGAAGGGAGGCCTTCAGAAGGACTTTGATATGATAAAGAGGACTCCTAATCTACCTGAGGCCTTGCTATTGTCAAGCTAAAGTTGTTTTACCTCTAGTAAGGCATTAATATTAGGAATGGTAGGGGTTCCTGGAGACATTGTTGTACTTGGTATTTGCCTCAAGGATTTGTCACTGGTCTGCAGGGTATCAGAAATTTAATTTTATCTGCCATTTCTTTCTTGCCTTTCTTCCCCACATCAGCATGGAGGTTAGGGTCTTAATAGGGGCTCCAGGAAACTGAGTCTATAGGCTTCTGGAGACTAGACTATTGATAAGATTGCCTTTTTCTTATAATTTACTAAGATATTTGTAAACTGATGGAGATTCATGTCCTGCATGACTGTGATCACTATCATTAACCATTTATTTTCTTTCCTTTCCTTTGTTCTTGGGCAGCCAGAGGAATATCACACATATCCCACCTTTTTGTGGGGAGGGGGGAGGTTCTAGCTTGTACATTGCCTTCAGCTTGCCTTATGCTCCCTCTTCACCCAGAGTCTCTCTTTCAGGGCCCACCACCCAAAGCCCAGGCTAGGGGAACTGGTTCCCCTGTAGCAGGTGGAAAGCCCGTGAGGTCTCCAGGAGTCTCATCTGCAGCCAGTGAGGCCTCAGGACAGCCTCAGGTCAGGCATTCTGTCAGCCCTGGCCCATGTGGTGACATCTAGGAGACACTACCAGAGGGCTGGGACCCATCACTGCCTCCCACGGACAGCCAAGCCTCCATGAAGAAACTACTTCCCTCCAGGACAAAGCTGGGATCAGCCATGGCAGGAACACTTCTGGGGGCCCAGGCCTAGGCCCCTGGACTCCACACCCCAAGACTGGCCAGAGAGAGCAGATGGTATCCGTGATCTCTCAAGAATGAGGCTGAGTCCTTGCATTCACTGTGACCCAAATCACTCAGTGTACAAAGCAGCAGGGTAGAGAGCCCCCCTTGGGCCCTAGCCCCTGACCCCTTTTCACACAGTGAGGATGCATGTCCCCCATTGTCCCCCACCAGGATGAAGCTGAGACTGTAGCCTCAGAGCTCTGCTATGTCAAGCTGTCTCATTTGTGGCTGGCATGCCCAGCTTCGGGTTTCTGACCACTGGGCCCACAGGAGGGGCCAAGTTCCTGAGGGGCCATCTGAGGTCTGGGCCCACCCTGCTAATGGGGCATGGATGAGGGGGAGGGGTTGACTCAAGACGGGAATGATGGGGCTTTGGAATGGTGGGGTTCAGAGCTCACAACCAAGAATGAATTCTAGAGACATCTTTAGTGCAAAAAAGATGATTTTGTTAATTCACAGGGACAGGACTTTTGGGCAGAAAGAGCTGCACTGGGGTTGTGAAGAGTGACTGGTTATATACCATGGGGTTGGGGGAGATAAAGTCAAGAGGAATTTTCTAAAGGGATTTTTTATATGCTCAAGTAGACTCCCACATTACTGGAGGCCTAGCTGTTGTCAAGCTAAGGTTGTTTTCTCCTCTAGCAAAGCATTAACATTCAGACTATAGGGAATTCCTGGAGAAATGTTATACTCAATATGCACTTCAAGTATTTGTCAATGGGCTGCAGGTCATAATGAAATTTAATGCCATCTGACTTTTCCTTCTTGCCTTTGTTCCCCATATCACTAGGGAGGTAGGTGATATTTGGGCTCCAGGAAACTGAGTATAGGATGGTAGAGATAGGCTATTGATAAGATCACCTTTTCCTCCTAATTTTCTAGGATATAGGTAAACTGATGGAGGATTGTGATTTCTATCACTTAACTCTTTGTTTTCTTTCCTTTCCTTTGTTCTTGGGCAGCCAGGAGTGCCTGAGGAATGTCACACAGATCCCACCTCTGGCTCGGGGAGCATGTTAGCATGTGCTCTGCCCTCAGCTTGCCTTATGCTCCCTCAGCAGGAGCACTCCCCAGCAGGCCTTCTCTGGGGAGGGGAGGGGAAGGGTGCCAGGGCCTGGGGTGGGTACCTGGGAGGGCCAGGATCTGGGCTCCATGAGCAGCACAGGGCACACTCTGTCCTTCCCTACCAGGAATGTCCTCTTTCAACTATCTCCCATTCCCTACCCTTCCCTTCCCTTCCCTTTGGAGAACCACAAGCATCATGGGCTCTGTTGATGCGAGGCATTCTCTGTTTCCATCAGGTGCAGGAAGGGGGCCCCACCACACTTAATCCACCAGGCACCTAGGCCCCAGCTGAGAGGCTTCTAGAGGTCAGAGATGACAGCTGGTCCAGATCAGAGACCCATGACCACACACAGTGATAACCAGGGGGAAGAGACTGTGAAGAGAGTCCCCGCCAGAGATGTGGAGATATGGGGAATGCACCCTCTCATCTCCCAGACCTTATGGCCCCTCATCTTGCATAATCCTGACCTGGAGGAAAGAGCAGAGAGCTTGCCATGATCTTCAGCATGAGT